CACCATGCACACAAGCGTACACCTGTGTCATCACCAGTAAGCGGGGCGGGCGGGGGGAGGGGAGGCACAAGTGGGTGCAGGGCCGCAGCTCCAGAGGGCGCAGCAACGGCGCTGGGGGGGGCTCCCGTGGGCCAAGGGGGGTGAAGCGCAAGCACTGCGGCCGCTCAGATGCGCGTGGCCGGCAGGGCCCCTCGCCCCAGGTCAGCTGACGGATGTGGCCCATCTCCCACCCAGGTGGTAGGCAAGCACTCTCCAGAACCTTCCTTTGACCCGGAAGGAACCGAGTTTGACACTGCCCATTTGCCAAGTTAATTTTCAAAAACCCCAATCAGGTGAGCCATTAAAATGGGGGGGGGGGCTGGCAAAGGACCAGGTTATTGGTGAAACCAGGTCCCGCAGGCTTCCCGAGGGCATTCCCAGTTGAGGCCCCCACTCACCACGACACCTGCATGTCCCTCCCCTCAGCCCTGTCAAGAGGGCGCCTGTTTGAGCCCAGCCCTAGACCTCCCTCGGAAATCAGATAGAGGGGCTCCTGGTCCGGGTGCCGTGCTCATGACATAGGCCTTTATCCTGCACTAAGCCGTCTTCTGACCGCGTCCATATCACGGCTCTTGTGAGAGGGTCCTGGGTTCCAGGGAGCCAAGGCCAGCATGGAGATCCGTGCCACCTCCGCGGACAGTCACTCACCCTCGCACGAGGACACAGTGCTCTTTCCTAGCTTGTCCTGCAAGAAAGAGCCGGCCCGCTCTGCACTCTCATGGCTTCTGGGCTCATCGTCTCCAGCTGCACAGAGCGATGATCATTCCATCCGCTTTCCTGATGGCGGATGGACCCCTGGGCTGGACCGCCTGTGTGCTCCAAGCCCAGGGTTCTCGATGGTTATCTCCCGGCCTGCGTGCATGGCCAACTGGGGCCTTTGGTCCTTGGAGCCAAGCTGGAGGGAAGGCCGGGCCGGTGTGAAGCGGTGCCCCGGGAGCCTGGTGTGCGCTCCCCAATGGCCTCTGACGGCCTCCGGAAAAGCTGTCCCGGGTTGGCCACCTCCGCCCACCACCAGTTCTGGGAGGACCCAGAGGGGGACATATCAGGGCCGTCTCCGTGGGGGTCCGAGGCTGGCATTCGCTCCCCGGCTGCTCAAGGCCGTGGGTGAGGCCACAGAGCAGCAGTGAAACAGCGCGTGTGGGTGTGCGCACAGGGGCAGGCGCGCAGGTTCCTGTGAACACACTATCTGCTTGAGGTGCACCTGCCTGAACCACAATCCCAGTTCTGACCAAAAAATAACACCACCACCAACAAAAACAACAATATACATGTCCCGTGAACGCTCTTATAAGCTAAAGCTGAAAAGTTCTGTTTATAGCTGGCTGTGGATTATGGGGCCCGTAAATCCAGCCCCAGCAGAGGCAGAGGGAACATCTCTGCACTCAGCCTCGCAGGCCGGCTCTCACAGCCTCCGCCCGGGGTCCCCGGAACCACAAGCACGACCAGGAAACGCCAGTGGGCAGACAGCGGCTGTCAGCGAGGGGGCTGAGGCTCAGAGCAGGACGTGACGCCCAGGGAGACCGAGGCAGGATGTTTGGAGAGGATGAAGAAGGAAAGATCCGGAGGAAAGTGACCTCACAAAGTGGGTGGAGGCGTGTGTCGGGGGGTCCCCCGTGAGGGTGCAGTGGCTGATGACAGAGGGTATGTGACAGGCGGTGTGGGAAGGGCGGGACAGGCGCCCGGAGGGAGTCGGGCCAGGGCTGGGAACCAGGGGGCCCCAGAACCCTGCTCCATGAGCGGCCCCAGCAGGCTGGCGGCTGGGCCCCTGCAGACGGGAGTCAGCACTGCGTGTGTGCGGCCAGCGGCCCCAGGGAGACCGGGGGGCCACAGGAGGACCCCGCCAACTCAGCTCTGCCCTCCCCGCCAAACCCACAGTCCCACACAGGTGTGCTCTAGTCCAGCAGGGCCCAGAGACTTGCCGGGGCCACGGCACCCTTCGGAGAGCAGACCCCCACCTGTGGGCTCACTGGGGGCAGGACCCTCGTCACCCACCCCTCCCAGGTGGCCCCTGCCTCCTTCCCCTCAACAAGACTGCCTCTGGCCTGGAGACACTCCGGACAGCGACACCGACTGGGGGTCCTGGCAGCCCGTCTTGTGCGCTTCCCTGAAGGCAATGAGGACTCGGCCAAGACCCTCCGGCCCTCCCAGCCCCCAGGGCCAGGCCAGAACCTCCCGTGGCAACACGGAGCACTGAAAAGACAGCCAGGGAGCTTGGCCGCTGCGGCCTGACCATCCATCCGAGGGGGCTGAACGCAGAGCAGGCGCCCACAGGGACCCGGCACTGCCTCCCGCCCTTCATAAGCCTCCTGGGGTTACAGCTGTGGACCCAGAGGGCAGTTCTGAAGGACGGAGCTGCTGGACTCTGGGGTGTCCCTGAGAGCCCGTCGGGGCCTGTGCCTCAGGGAGGGGGGAGGCCGGGCCTCCGTAGGCGCCTGCAGGCACACACCACAAGGCATCTCCAGGACTGAAGGCTGAACGTTTATGGAACAAAAGCAGCGGAAAGCTCGTAGCCTCTAGCTGGGGATGGAGAAGCAAGGGCAGGCCCCGTGGTCACCCCAGCAGGGGGGAGTCTGCGAAGCCCTGGGTCACGGAGCCGAGGGCAGACGCTGGTGTTTGGAGGCTGTGGCCTGGGACGCACTGCCATGAAGGCTCACAGGGCCCCCGCCAGGCCGCGCCTGCCGCTTAGGTGGATGGGCCCGTAAGCACCGTCCGCTTCTGGAACAGCAGCTTGGGGTGTTAGCGCTCTTCCGACAGGACGCTTGCAGCACGGGGGCCCCAGGGAGCCCGCACATCGCGAAGACTGAGACTGCCACTTCGGCACGTCAGCTGTGGCGGGAGACGAGCCTACCGTGTTTGGCTGGTATTTTTAGGGAAAACAACTAGAAGAGACTACAAGGCCTTGACCTCAGAGGCCGGGAGGCGGGGGACAATGTGCCCGACACTGTCCCAAGGAGTCCAGCAGCATGGGCGGCACCTCTGGGCAAGAAAGGCTTAAACCCGAGGAGATGGGAAACACCACTGATGAGAACCTGGCATCCACACCCAATCCACGCAGGGCCCGTGGACGCACTGACCGGGCCTGACACACACACAATCCACGCGGACCCACTGACAGGGACCAATATCCCACACACAATGCACGCAGGGCCC